GGCCGAGAACAACGTCCCCCAACTCCCGAAGAGGTCGATAAGGAAGGAGAGGTGCTGTACGAAGTGGAAAGTATCGTGGGGAGCCGGAAAAGCAGAAGAGGATTAGTGGAATACCTGGTGAAATGGCGGGGCTATTCGATGAGTGACTGTACGTATCAAGTCATGGACGCTATGGATGAGGAAGTACTTGACCTTGTCCGCGACTTCCATCGAAGGAACCCCAAGGCCGTGAAGGACCAACGCCTGAGACTATAGAGGTACCCTACGGGGCTAAGTCCTTCCCCTCCACAGACACCGCGGGTGATATGTGGAGCAGGTTTACTGGAACCATTGTCTGTCAGAAGATGTCCCGAGACGTGACACCCTGGAAGGGGGGTAAGCTGTTACGGGCATGCCAAGCATTTACGGGAGTGAGAGAAAGGCTAGTAGATACCCCAATACCCTCTGTACGCTAATATCAACTCTTGACCACACTCGCGGAGTGTGGTGCGACCAAATGACGACCAAAAAACCCAGAGTCATAAAAAACACGTTTTCGACCCCAATAATAACCCCCGGAGCGTCAAACCGCCGGAGGGGAGTGTTTTGGTACCGGTGGATATATGAGGGACAGCTGGAATCAATCGGATCGAAGATCGGACCGCTCGGAGCGAATCGGCGCAAGCTGCCAGCCGACCGAGTACCTATCGGCGGTACCTGTGGGCATGAGAGGACTCTGCTATGTGGGAAAGCGATGTGGGAAAAGGCCTGAGTAGGTAGCCTTGCCGTCCGAGACCTCCGAATAGCCGACGCTGACGATTATCCACCAGACGGCCGATGGAGAAGAAACATCGACAGGGAAACGTGCATTAGAGTGGATAAATAGGTTGAGGGGTTTCAGCGGCTTTAGGAGTTTGGGTTACGGACTTAGGAGTTAAATGTTCTTGGTTGTTTTTCAGGGTCTCGGGTAGGCCCCGAGTGTATTCTGTATTATTAGTAGACTGGGTCCTCGAGACATAAGCAAGGGATATAAATACTGTGTCATTCACTGACTAGCCAAACCATCATCGGCGAAATCAGAGTCTTAACAATATAAATCGTTGATACGCGAGTTACAACTTTATTTGACTATATTTTCTGAATTACTTTACTCTATCGTGACTTCGAACTCTACCTGAACTATTACGTCGAAGACGGTCGAACATCATACGCTAACTCTAGTGAATCTTTGTTGATAACGTAGCTCGCGGGGCCCGTATCGGATCAAGGAGAATCATACTCGACGTTGACTGAAGAGACCTTGGAGACTTCTACCTTTGTAGCTGTTAGCCGAACTCTGAGCTCTGCGTAGTGTACTCTTGCGGTCTGGTACGCATCCCTCACACCGACCGAGTACCTATCGGCGGTACCTGTGGGCATGAGAGGACTCTGCTATGTGGGAAAGCGATGTGGGAAGAGGCCTGAGTAGGTAGCCTTGCCGTCCGAGACCTCCGAATAGCCGATGCTGACGATTATCCACCAGACGGCCGATGGAGAAGAAACATCGACAGAAACGTGCATTAGAGTGGATAAATAGGTTGAGGGGTTTTAGCGGGTTTAGGAGTTTGGGTTACGGATTTAGGAGTTAAATGTTCTTGGTTGTTTTTCAGGGTCTCGGGCATGCCCCGAGTGTATTCTGTATTATTATTAGACTGGGTCCTTGAGACATAAGCGAGGGATATAAATACTGTGTCATTCACTGACTAGCCAAACCATCATCGGCGAAATCAGAGTCTTAACAATATAAATCGTTGATACGCGAGTTACAACTTTATTTGACTATACTTTTTGGAATTACTTTACTCTATCGTGACTTCGAACTCTACCTGAACTATTACGTCGAAGACGGTCGAACATCACACGCTAACTCTAGCGAATCTTTGTTGATAACGTAGCTCGCGGGGCCCGTATCGGATCAAGGAGAATCATACTCGACGTTGACTGAAGAGACCTTGGAGACTCCTACCTTCGTAGCTGTTAGCCGAACTCTGAGCTCTGCGTAGTGTACTCTTGTAGTCTGGTACGCATCCCTCACAGTTTAATAACTTTGTTGACATGAAATATTCGAGGTTCCGATGGTCGCTAAGAACTTCAATTGGGAATTGTGCCCCCTCTAAATAATGTCGCCATTCCTCAAAACATCGTACGATTGCCAGGAGTTCTTTGTCATAGATCTCATAGTTACATTCCGCAGGGGAATGTTTCTTAGAGAAGAAAGCGACTGGATGTAGAATTCCTTCGTCGTCACGTTGGGACAGAATTCCAGCAGAAACATAGTCAGATGCATCGGTTTCTACAACGATTTTCCGATCCGGATCAAAGTGCATTAGTATGGGTGCCGTTGTGAACATCCTTTTCAATGTCTGGAATGCTTCCTCCCTTTCATCCGTCCATTCAAATTTAACATTTTTCTTGGTCAGAGTTGTAAGCGGAGCAACAATTTTTGAATACCCTAAAATAAAACGCCGATAGAAATTCGCAAATTCCAGAAATACTTGAATATCATGGAGATTCCTTGGTGTGGACCATTCCAAAACATCGACAACTTTCTTTGGATCCATCCTATTCCCATCCGGGGTGAGAATAAGACCGAGATACTTCGTTTCCTGAACCATAAATTCACATTTTTCAGGTTTAAGATGAACATGATTCTCATCAAGTACCTTCAAAACCTTCTGAATGTGTTCCTTGTGTTCCGACAGGGTTTCTGCATATATCAGGATATCATCCAGATATGCCGTTACGAATTGATCAAGATAAGGCCGTAGGATATCATTGATCCAGTGTTGGAATATGGCCGGAGCGTTGGCTAATCCAAATGGCATTACTGTATACTCGAAATGTCCATAACGAGTCCTGAACGCCGTCTTCCATTCATCTCCCTTAGCTACCCTGATCTGATTATATCCCTAACGTAGATCCAACTTGGTGTAGTACTGTGCCCTTGACAGTTTGGCTAGAGTTTCCTTCAATAACGGTAACGGGTAGCGATTCTTAATCGTAATTGCATTGAGGCCTCGATAATCCACACAGAGTCGAAGAGTCCCATCACTTTTCTTTACGAACAGTATAGGTGCTCCCGCTGGTGATTCACTAGCCCTGATAAATCCCTTTGGTAGATTTTCATCAAGGTATTCCCGTAGTGCTTTTAATTCGATCTGGGACAGGCCGTATATTGGTCCATATGGAGGTCGTTTACCTTCCTCCAATACGATTTCAATATCATGGGACGGTCGATGTGGTGGCAGGACAGAAGCGTCATATTCTTGAAACATATGGAGATGATGATGGAATTCTTTTGGTATCAGTTGCTTGATGTCGACAATGGGTTTCTCAACTGCTGAACCGACAATAGTATGATATTCCGGTAAAGGAATCGATATGCCATGGACAGTAATCGCCGTTCCACTGAGTGAACAGTGTTGACAGCAGTTTCGAGAGTCGAAAACAAGTAGATTCTCATTTGGCCGGATCGTAATATCATGATGTCGCATCCAGGGAATTCCCATCACAATCGGATAGTGACTCAACTGGGTAACAAAGAAAGGCACGGTTTCTTGGTGGCCATGAATATCCAACGAGAGGCGAGCAACATGGGTAATTTTTCCTGATTCGATTAGCCTACCATCCATTACCTCGAGTAGACGTGGTATCTTTAGGGGTTCCGAGGAGAGTCCATGCTTTTCCATAAAGCCTTGGTCAATAAATGCATAACCTGATGCTCCTGTATCGATAAGAGCATAGGTCGGAACAAAAGAGTGGGAATCCTGGGAGACGGAGCAGGTGACGACAAGGGAGTCTTCGGACATCTTATCCTCGGACACGGTAACAGTAGAGACAACAGAGACAGAGATAGGTGGCGGGGCTGGCCCCTTTGGTTTGCCATTTTTTACCAAAGGGGCTGACCTTTTAACGCCGGCTTTTGAGACACTTGTTCAATTGGCTTTTCTCGCCAATTGTTGATGGTACGGGGGTCTTGGGAGCGAGGGGTGAGGTAGCGAGACTTGGAAACATGGCGAGATTGGGTTTTAACTCTAGCGGCAGAAACGGAGACACGGGAGCGAAGATCGGCAATGGTGGCATTGGCTTGAACTTCCCAGGCTTTTGCAACAGAAGTGATGTGAAGAATCTCATCTTCAGCATCAGCGAGGTTCTCGTCGGCAATGGCAAGACTTTCCTGGTGTAGTGCCAGACGGAACCGAAGCTCTTCTTCTTCAACCTTCGATTCCTCCAGCTCAATCTTCAAAGCAATGATAACCTCGTCGCGACCTCGGATGATTTCGGTAGAATCTTCTTGGTTATCGCACAAGGTTTGCCAAAAATCGGCAGCCTTTTCATTGGCTGCTTCTAGTTCTGTAGTGAGGCCGGCAATGACCTCTTCCTGAGCCGTATCGATAACGGGTTCTAGTGGCGCGGGGGTGTCAAGAGGCTTGGTGAGGGCCTCCAAACACTCAGCAATAAGACTATGAGCCTCCGTAAGTTCTTCGCCGAAGTCTATATCGGCTGGGAGGGGACCATAATTGGTCAGAAATTCTGAAAGACGCTGCAGCAACGTATCTTGAGTGGTGTCGGACATGGTCGCGACCAGAGCTAAGCAAGGCGGTGTTGTATTGGTTGGCTGTAAAGGATGCAACCTAAGTGTAACGGGGACTATGGGCGTAGGAACTATGAAGCCAAGGAATACAACCGAGGCGAAGACGTGACGTAGGAGGTTCGTGGACTATGGACTATGGGGCCGAAGGGTACACCTAAGGCAAGAACGAGGACTGTGGACTATGGAGCCGAGGTATGCTACCAAGGCGGGAACGTGGACTATGGACTATGGATGGTCGTACCTGGTCTAGTATACCGGGTAAACCCTATGACGTAGTGCGAACCAAATAGTATTCGTAACTGTGAAGTACAGAGGTTGCATAAAGAAAAAAGGAAAAGAAAGAGAAACAAGAAATCACGAGACAACGCCCCCCTTATATATCCATACCCTATCCCAATGCTGACTCATACTCTCGCATAACAGAAACAGAAAGAACATAATAGAAACCCGCTTCGCTAAACCCAACCACACTGCATAACCCTTCCTCTTCGTACCCTAACACCTCGCATGACCAAACCACATGGCTGCCGTTACAGTGCTGGAGGTAGGTCTGGAGCTCTGTGAAGAACTGTTGGACGGAAATCTCGTCGGTATCCTGCCAGGCAGGCTCACAGCCGGGAATGTAGGTCTGTAGAGCGGTCCTGGGTTTCTTAACAAGCTGTGTCTGCCCGGTGGCATCAAGCTGGAGGGGCACCGGCTGCCATTCAATCTGAAGGGGTGCATCTGGAGCCGAGAGGGCGGACATTTTATATAGAGGAAGAATAATCTGAAGGTGACTTGAGCCTTAAAGATTATCTGTAACGGGGGTCCTTTCTAAGAAAAATAGAATCGGATAGAATAGAGACGGCCGTGCAAGATAGACAATCAGGTTGCAGATTATTCAAAGATACTATCGCTAGAACTCAATAATCTTTAAGGGCTCTGCTACCGATAAGAACTTGGTTTTCTTTCTGATGAAGACTGGAGAGAACAGGACTGAAGGGCGAGAATGAACCTGAGTACTTATACTCCGAAGGCCTCTATTCTCTGCTCCTAACTCCTTACTAAGTTCCGGTGGGCCTTTCCTTAGTACCGGAAACAATACCACCGCTACCCCGCTTTTCTCTAGGCGTCAGCAGGTGTTTCCGATACCCAAGGCAACCACCCTTAGTCAAAGCCTTTGTAACACCTGCAGCCTTGGTTGCCACACAACCGAGGACCTGCATGAATGAGCAACCGCTCAGGTGTAAGCTTAATCATTGCTGTAGAGCTGTCGCTTATTGTAGACTTCCCTTAGCATAGTTCCTGCTTCTTCGGCGGACATACAATGCTCAGAGGATACAGAGGATCACCGGGCAATCAGAGCTTCACTCTGGCCGGTCTTCTAGTCATTGGCGAGGCATAGACTCGTCAGTCATTGGTCCCATGAATAGATCCCCTTCCTAGCGCCCGGAATGTAGTTACTCTAACAGCTGGTAGCTAACCACACTGCCGGTACTTGCATATCACCGTGCAACTGGCTTCTAACAATAACTCTCAGCATGTAACCGGGCCCTGTGTGTACTCATACACCAGACAGTTGAAATGGCTCCGTTACAGACTGTTTTTCCCCTTTCTCCTGCTCCCGTTCTTCTTGTACCATCCTCAGTTGCCGCTCCGCCTCCTGTAACTGGTTCTGGGTTTGCCGATGGCTTTGCTCCAGAACCTCATGGTCGGCGGCTCATGCAGCTTCATGTATTTGTTTCGATATTGGCGACAAGCTCAAAGAGCGATTCGAGATGTTGTTTTTGGGCAATGGCTTCTTGCCGTACTTTCTTGTCCAGGATTTGCCCACTCCCTTGCACTTGTTCCTGGAGGTTTTGTAGCTGCTGCCAAACGGCCTGTACAGCTGCACCAAGATACCTCATTTGTGCCTCATGGGTATCCAAAAACTCCTGCATATTCCTCACGAACTGGGCTTGAGCAGAGCGTTTACTCGATTGCCTAGTTTGTGTAGAGGGTCCTCCCGTAAGTAGGGGATCTGGGCTAGCAGCCCTCGATATTACCATAGAATCTTCCCCTCCGGCGTCCTCAGTTGCGGCCGAGGTATCTATGAAATAATTATCCCTTCGGGTAGTCATTGTGATAGGGGATAATGATGATAGTTCTTCTTTTGAGGTGACTTCGTTACTCCAAGTGAACTTGTGAGTAACAATATACTGTGTGGGATGCGTACCAGACTACAAGAGTACACTACGCAGAGCTCAGAGTTCGGCTAACAGCTACAAAGGTAGAAGTCTCCAAGGTCTCTTCAGTCAACGTCGAGTATGATTCTCCTTGATCCGATACGGACCCCGCGAGCTACGTTATCAACAAAGATTCACTAGAGTTAGCGGTTGGTATTCGACCGTCTTCGACGTAATAGTTCAGGTAGAGTTCGAAGTCACGATAGAGTAAAGTAATTCCAAAAAGTATAGTCAAATAAAGTTGTAACTCGCGTATCAACGATTTATATTGTTAAGACTCTGATTTCGCCGATGATGGTTTGGCTAGTCAGTGAATGACACAGTATTTATATCCCTCGCTTATGTCTCGAGGACCCAGTATACTAATAGTACAGAATACACTCGGGGCATGCCCGAGACCCTGAAAAACAACTAAAAACACTTAACTCCTAAGTCCGTAACCCAAACTCCTAAAGCCGCTAAAACCCCTCAACCTATTTATCCACTCTAATGCACGTTTCCCTGTCGATGTTTCTTCTCCATCGGCCGTCTGGTGGATAATCGTCAGCGTCGGCTATTCGGAGGTCTCGGATGGCAAGGCTACCTACTCAGGCCTCTTCCCACATCGCTTTCCCACATAGCAGAGTCCTCTCATGCCCACAGGTACCGCCGATAGGTACTCGGTTGGCTGATAGCTTGCGCCGATTCGCTCTGAGCGGTCCGATCTTCGATCCGATTGATTCCAGCTCTCCCTCATATATCCACCGGTCCAAAAGCACTCCCCTCCAGCGGTTTGACGCTCCGGGGGTTATTATTGGGGTTGAAAACGTGTTTTTTAACTAGGAAAACCGCGACTCCGCATTTGGTCGCATATTGATCGCACCGCACCTTGTGGGTGCGAACCGGAGTTGACATTGGCGCACAGAGGGTATTGGGGTATCTACTGGCCTTTTCTCCTACTCCCGTAAATGCTTGGCATGCCCGTAACAGGCCGTCTGGTGGATAATCGTCAGCGTCTGCTACTCGTAGGTCTCAGACAATAAGGCTACCTACTCAGGCCTCTTCCCACATCGCTTTCCCACATAGCAGAGTCCTTTCATGCCCACAGGTACCGCCAACAGGTACTCGGTCGGCTGGTAGCTTGCACCGATTCGCTCCGAGTGATCCGATTGATTCCAGCTGTCCCTCATATATCCACCGGTCCAAAAGTACTCCTTTCCGCCGGTTTGACGCTCCAGGGGTTATTATTGGAGTCGAAAACGTGTTTTTTAACTAGGAAAACCACAACTCCGCATTTGGTCGCATATTGATCGCACCGCACCTCGTGGGTGCGAACCGGAGTTGATAGTGGTGTTGCCATTAGTGTCCGAGGGTATTGGGGTATCTACTAGCCTTTCTCTTACTCCCGTAAATGTTTGGCATGCCTGTAACACTTGGGGACTTCTACCTTTGTAGCTGTTGGCCGAACTCTGGGCTCTGCGTAGTGTACTCCTGTGTTCTGGTACACATCCCTCACACAGGACCCTCAAAGATTATTGAGTTCTAACGATAGGAATTTTTAAAGTTAAAATTCTGAACCTGACTTTCTATCTTGCATGGCCGTCTATATTCTTTAACTCTATTATACTCTTAGAGAGACCCCCATTACATTAGCCGAATTGGAACCTTAACTCCCAAAGCTTGAAGCAATATCAAATACCATTCCTGAATTTTGAAAAATTTCAGCTTCATGCTTTAGGTTTTGTTTTGCTTCTCTACTTTTCAATAACTGTAGCTTTCTTTTTGCTGAAACCATATTTGGCGGGAGGGTTGTTTTGGATTGAATTGTTGATGAACTGTTTGATGAATCGGCTAAGATGCTGCTATCGTCTACTTTTCGCCAGAATACGAAGATAATTTCCATTTTTCTTTACTCGGGAGCAAACGGATTCCTACAAACAACCTTTTCGGAAAGCTTCATCTGGCAGGCAAGTATGACTCAGGGGCGCCACTATAGAACAGCAAACGGATTCCTACCTACCCCTGTTATCATGAAATATCATTCGATTATGTCCTGTTTTTGGAATATTTTGGGTTTTTTCTCAACCCGGCACCATACAAAATACCAATACTTAGGGCGCCCCTAGTGACCTCAAACTTGATTTATTTTTTAAAGCCCTCAGTATATTTTATGAGAACCTTTATTACAATAATTATACAACAGGATTAATAGTTTAGATCACTGTGGTAGAGTTGCGGATCGGTAGCAAGTTTGGTGGTAATTGTTGTTGGCGTGGTCGGGTTTGACTGTCTGCCACTGTACCATCATGTTTAGTTTCTCAATCACCATTTCTGGATATAATGATAAATAAATATTCGTAATTGTAGGTTGTGAATACGAATGTAATATTTATTTATTATAGGATGGAATTCTGTTTTTACGCTAATATACTAACTGCCCAGATGCTCCAGATTCTCACCGCATACTCTGAGTCTACCGGACACCCACCAGATCATTTCTTAAAATCCGGTGCCATTTAAGTCTAACTGCGGGTTCCACATACAAAACACCGGATGCGCGTCCAGATAATTCTATACCCCACTAATTACGACTTCGGCTGTGTTGGGGATGCAGCAGGTGCATCAGAGAAGGTAGCGGAGGTAGACATCTTTTTACAAAAGGTAAATAGGCCGGCAGGCAGGCAGGCAGGCAGGCAGGCAGGCAGGCAGGCAGGCAAGAAGTGAATGATGAGTGCAAATGAAGCGAAAATCTGTTCTATTCATCTGTCTCCTGTAGCACTTCCCACAATCCTCAAGAGTGGGCATTCACAAAATACAGTCACTTAAACTAGGGAAACGAAGGGCAAACCCAACGCGCTGGAGGGTAAAGTTACAATTGCACGATCGATGGGATATCGAAAATGTCCTTATAAATCTATGGCTTATTTTTTGCACTTCTCGGCTGTAAAGCGCCTCCCTATAAGTGCATATTGACAATGATAGCTAGACATGACTGATAATATATGATTGACAAGTACGTTATGACATTATACAACCATAAGCAAATTGATCTGTGGTTTAGTGTACCAGTACGCAACTGATCTTCCATCATTACAAGTAGAGTATGTACCCAGGTAAAGGATTAAGAAGCCGAAAACAACCCTAAAACCCCGAAAGGCCAACTCAGAGGCATACACATATAATTATGTATCGAGAGTATTCATCGCTTCGTTGGTATAGTATACCCTCTACTCATGAAATCATTCCTTCCCGAAGCACCATCTTGCTCCTTTGTACTGAAAAGACTCTTCAAGTTGTCGCTCATCTCTGTTTTTCTGCGTTTATTCTTCATTTTCTCATCCTCCAGTACTTTGCTTGTTAAACTGGCTGTTGCGGCGTTCTTTATACCGGTTTCTTCTTTCTTAAGTAGCTTCTCGGCTTCTTTGGATTCCTTCTTTCGCTTCTTCGATTTCCCATCGGATAGTCTTCTCAATGTGTGTCCTAGTCCCTTCTCAGAAAGAACTTTGATTCGGTTTCTCAAACTTTGGGCATCTTGGTCCAACACGGGGTTAATAGGAATGACATTATCTGCCTCGTATGCTGTGCCACACTAGTTCACCAGGCATGGTTAGTTTTGCATAGAATGATTATTCTGGGGAGATAAACCTGTAAACAAACGCCTTCACTTCCCTTAACCTCCTTGATCGCACTCTCCAAAAAGGCATGCCCACATGGTACCAGGTAAACCGCTCTGACTCCAGCCACGAGACCTTTCCTCGACACTGGACAAACCCACTTGTCCTGACCATCTTCCTTTGAAATGTCGAATTTTATTTCTAGGACATCTCTTAAACTCTTTACCCGCCCGTCTAATACCTCTTCACCGTCACCAAATGCCTCTGTTCCGCGTAGGAGCCATTCTAGAATTGAATCTTTATTGTAGAGACGCCCCGAGGAGTCGGAGACAACCGGGGAGGCGAGTGGACGCTTTGAGAGAGGGCAAGTGCTCCAGTGATATTCTTGAGTTTGAGCATTGGAATCACGGAGTTGAGAGTGGGTGGCGCGGCGAGTAGGGGACTTGACAAGCTCGCGACGTGTAGGAATGCTTTAGAGGTAGCAGTGTCAGCCCGCTTTCCAACCCAAAGGCAACAAGCACATGGTAAGTCTTACCTTCCTCCGTCGTTACCCATATTTCCTGAGATCTCTAGGTTCCTAAGATTCTTTATGATATGTGAATCTTAAACTCGAGGTTTGGCGCTTTGGTGCATGAGTCGGTATTTGGAATGGGCTCGATGATCTGACTAAACCCTGCCAAGAATCAGGTCGGACCAGGTCATGTGATATCGTGATACCCTAGCTCAGCCTAGTACATTGCTACTTTAAGTTTAAAGTGTTTCGCTAAAACCTAACCCTACTCCCGGCCTGACCATTGATTGAAGACAAGCTTAAGCTCATTGGGGGTAAGGGTGAAACTACATACATGTACCCAGGATGTCGGAAAATGATGCATTTGGTGATATCTCAACCATGAGAGAAGTAATCTTCACACAAGTCTATCTTGAGGTCAATTTAAGTGTGCGGATTCCTTTCATAATGAAAAACGGGTGGGAGGGTCTGTCATCGATACTTTTTGAGTTTTTACTACTGGTTTTGGCTATCTAATAGTGACCTCTTGCCTGAAGAATGGTTACTCCACATTCAAATAACACTAAATGTATTCTTAGGCATTACAGAGATGTCCTACACTTGAAGTTTGAATTTAGGGAGCGTTTTGCGTTGTGCCAAAATATAGGTACATGTATTTGGGGTAATTTGGCCACTTTCCAACACACTGGGTACACTACAGATGCATATAATAAGCAAGTATCAAGCGAGAAGCTAACATGGTGCAAGCTACATACCATTATGGAGCCAGAGAGATCGTCGATACATTACACCTAACCCACAAGGAGGGCTTAGGAGAACACAAAAAGCTCGAGAGGATGTAAGTTTTAAAAAAAAGTACTTCTGGCCGAGGAATACATGTATATTTCTTACGGGGAGTCCGATTTATGATTTATATATTCCCGCAGCTAAAAAGGATAAAGAAAAAGAAAAAGAAAAAAACAGGCCCCGAGAGGATTCGATTATTTAACTACATGTATACATATGTATGTTACCGGAACTAGTACATGTACTGTTGACAGACCGGGCGCTTGAGTGGGTTCTAAGATATCTTTCCTACTAAATACTGTCGATTACTACCACGACGATTAGATTGATAAGAAAGATCTTCAATAAGATTCGTGGGCAAAGGAGTGCACTCATAGGCAGCGTTTTTCGTCGATTCTCGTCATCCAATATTCCATATACATATACATATAATCCACCAAGAAAACAGTAAGCTCCAGGGGAAATATTCCTACGTAAAATTGTTTCCATTACGGCGCTGTCGTAGTCCATCACCGGGACTAGACAAGGGAGTATTATAATTATTATTTTCGCTATCTAGTAGTCCATTACTGTAATTTGTTCAACAATCCGAAGGAATAGAGACTTTATGCAAGTAACCCTAACTAATCAATCCCCATCGATATATCACATTAAGATACCGCACCTGGGTCAGGGAATTGAAACCCCTGTACCGCACAGGTAAAGAAGTCTTCAGGTCTTACCCATGGGGAGACACCCGTATTTCTATACATTCTCGTTCTCTGTTGGCTTAACTGACGAGCGATTTCGTCTCATGTTCTGGTTGTGAGCAAGGGGCAGACTCTTTTATATATAGAGGTTGCCCTCCTTCGCTGTCTGTATTGTGGGAATGTACGCTTTTCTTCCCACTAATGTAGGTCCCGGGGAGTGCGTCGCAGCATGGGCTTTCGATTCCGGCTTATTAGCGAGGGGGTGAAGGGAGTTTCTTCTTGTGTTCCTGTTTTTAGGGACGGAGGGGCGCACTTCCACAAAAGCGGGGGTGCTTCTCTCTGTATTTCTACCTATCTCGATTTGAGCTTTACTGCCTTGTGGTGCTCCGTCATCAGCTTTTCACCCGCGTCGTGCGTTTCTTACACCCCGATAGTAGAGTGATAATTCATGAAGCACCGCCACCCCACCAGTTTTATGGATTCGGGTCGGGGGGGTCGGAGGATTACCTCCTCAGCTACTTCTCCTCTAATCGCGCTCTCTTCACGGAGATACGTTGCTCCCGCTTTCGCCGGCTTGACTGAGAGACTAACGTGAGCTATAAGGGTCCCGTTAACCTTCTCAACACCTAATCCTTAGCTTTCTATAGCGACAACTCCCTATAAGGATGCAAAATTTCGATCCCGATCGTATCCTTATAGCGAGAGATTACTGTACCCCTAAACTAGTAGATTGCCATACCCTCACCGGTTCTCCTCTCATCCTCATGCATGCCCTACTCATTCGTTCTTACCAAGAGCGTGTAAATGTTTCTAGTAAGAGGAATTGGCTCGTAAGTCGTAATTCCGGCGCTTTAGTTAGTGCCGGTCAACACCGTGAGGGTGTTATCAATGGCAATTACCTGGCTTTACAGAGGCAAGTCACGTAGTCCATCCATAATAGCTGAGCTAGCTACCTTCCACAGCGCTCCACGGCAGGATGAGCGATACTTTGTGGCCGGCCTCCCACATGACATGCGCGGTCGGTAACCTGGCTGGAGGCGGACTAGGCGTAATCATAGTAAATCACTCGGCCTGACACGTGGGCTACCGGCGCCTGCCCCTTGTTTTTTCTTGTTTAATTCATTAATCGTATGCAGACCGTAGTCTATGACGATACCGGCGCCCGCTCACCTAGACGCGTGGAACGGGTTTCTTTGTAATCAAGATATCTGCGGGGGTTGGTGATGGTCCACATGAGCGCATGTAGTAGTGCTCTAGTTTGGTGAGCGCAAGTGGCTTGCCCTACGGCCAGCGATAGGTGTGTTCGCACGCACAAGGCTTGATGCTTCCGTCTACGGTGCTAGCACTCCACTCGGGTTCTCCTATGTACAACGCTCTTACAAGTATCTTACTCTTTCCATCCCCGCTCTCCTCGCCCTACTCGTCTTCGAATTTCATCCTATCCCTTATCTATTGTTTCTAGAGTCCTAAGGTAAAGCCCTATCCACAAGTATCTCTCTACTCCCCTCTTCGGGCACGTAACTCTCTCGCCTTGGGCAAGAGCGGGTGAATGATCAATATTAATTGCCTCTACTCCTCCGCCCACCCTGTTTGGCACCTATGTGAAAGCACCCTATCCCCGTTGATCTCTTGGTTCTGTTCAAGGGTTTAAAGGGTGTATCTCATAGTCCACTGGATTTCTTCGACTCAAGTGGCTCGGTTGTCTCCCCCGTCCTTTGCGGCTGCTCGCTTCCGCCGTTGGGCTAGTTTCCCTTGTTCTTCTACACACTTTCTTTTAGGCACTACACCAGCTGTCACTTTGGTATAAGGGTACCGTTAGACTTGTATGCCTGCGCTGTAACGGTAGCTCCTCATCGGGACCTTACGGAATCACAGATGAAACAGAGAGAACATCGAGTGACCTCTCATGATTGCATCGGACTCAACATAAGATCCCGCAAGAAAAGGCTGTCTAACGGATATTAACTTAATCCGTCGTTATTAACCACTGTTATAGTTTTACATTTACAATGCTATGATATTCCTTGCGTACGAGATGGCAATCAGTACTATATATCATGGTTTCATATATTTGCTATATATGTGTATATAAGAGTTAGGAAATTCGTTAGATAAAATAATAAGTACACTCTCGGCCATTTTCATAGCATCGCTTTTTTCGAAATTTGCAAATCAATACCTGTAGATCCTACTAGAGCCTGTATTCTCATCAAGAGTCATAAAGGGCTTCAATCTTTGTCCCATAAACACATGCTCCCGGACTACCCGACTCAATCTACCCCAACTCAGTCAGCAAAATTTCCAACCCGAAATTGACAGCCAATCAAGTACTCACCGAATACCCCCCCGCATACTCACACATCTGATACGTATCAGACCCACTACTCAACAAATACCCCATCCCATTTATCACCTGTATACTCCAGCTACCCTCCACGGAGCAGCACGGACTGCTAGCAGGAAAATTTTCGTGGCTCCAAAACTGCAGCCGGAGTCCCATCGTTGCGCCGCCGTGGTTCTTTTGAAAGTAGCCGATGCAGATGCCGGTGGGCGAGGTGTTACAGTACCGGTAGAGCTTGTTGTTGTGGATGAACGCTTTGAGCGGGGAGGCATACGGGGGGGAGAAGCTTACACCGACGACGGAGGGATCTGTGGGGTACGAGCGGATTACGGGCTTGTTGTGGATGCGGGGGTAGGATGGGTTGATGGCTGTGAGAGAAAAGGTCCGGTTTAGAGCATTGGTGCCAAGAAGTAGGAGCGACAGGACAAACAGGAGCTGTGGAAGCTGCATTTTTGCTGAGTATTGTAGGTTGTGAATACGGTGAAGCTGGCACTGATGTTTGGCAAGTAGGTCGCGGCTATATAGAAACCGTATACGACGTAGCAATCATCGAGGCATTAGATCTATAGCAGAACTTCTATTTTCAAAACTCTATATCGTGGATCATTTGCATCGTATCGCACCGTTGTACCACAGATGAAGTACTATACTTAGTGCTGAACTTGCACTTTTCCATCGTATACTTCAACCAAGTGCACATGGCGTCACGCGTGACAAGAAAAACCTGTTTAGGTTATCATTGGTTGTGGTAAGGTTTCAAACCGCCGCTGTTTATAGACTCGTGTTGCGCAAGGAGTGATTGGCTGGACAAACGAGGGTCTGGTCTATCACGCCAGTTAAGCTTCAAAATATGCTTAACGAGGGTTGATGTAGGTGCAGAATACATGTATTTCGGAGAAATGTGCTGTTTTGATAGGTGGCTAAACCTTACACTGGCCGGAAGACTTAGTTCATGGCGGGCTAAATCTACAACAAGTGAGACTAAGATGCACCAGTATAGTGAACTGCAAGCTTAAGAAGCCGTCGTTAAAGGGTCATGGGGGCTGCCTCAAATCTGAGAGGGGTATTGTTCTACACTATAACTTGCAGATTGACGTTCAAAGACTGACTCTGATTGGCCTATATCCCTGCCGTTTGGTAACAAACACCTCAGATTTTGTGGTAGTTGACTATATTATACCGTAAACCACTCGTGTCCTTGGCCTAATGTAGTAACAATAGTAAGTTGTGGCATCCAAAAATCCACGGCATACGTTCGTGGACTTTGCATGCGGTGTCTGTAGAAAAGTATAAAAATACACGCACCCTAAATAGTATAACTTTCATCCTAGCCGATATATTCCCCGTTATCAGTGTCCCATCGGTGGAAATAAAGAGATTCTACCCGCTGCCTATTATATACCATTATAATCATAGTAATGGATGCTAGCGTTTAGAATGTAAAAACGCTTAATAGAAGCATCAGGGTAAAAGTATGCTGCAGAGGTATCGATAATGGTGAGTGCGGGCATTAACGGTGTGGTCCACGAGGCCGGGCGACTTCATGACCATAGATTTGGAGCCGAAAGAGATCAAGTAGCTGCAATTAACGGGTACCCAAGTCTTGTTCGATGTGCTTAGCCTCTTTGTGATTGTCTATTAATTACTACGCTGTGCTTCCCAAGGCCGCTACCTTGCTTTACATGGTGTTTGGAGTCAATCCCTGCCTTAATTCATCGCCTGGGGAGTAAATATGTACTTCAGGCGGACAGGGTACTTGAGTGGGGTTTGTATATCAATACAACTTAATTTCTGTTTTGGTCATGAATTGCTTACTTACTGTGGATATCAATTGATGTCATCAGTTGCCTTATATATATGTGGTTCTTAGGAGTTCTATTATACTTGTTGTACTTTTCCATAGACCACATGTTCTTTCTCTGTCACTACAAGACACACTTGTTCCTCCTCGCTCAGGCCATTATATTATTCGCTTCAGTCCTTCGATAAATATATTTATTGGTTCTCCCCTATAAACAACTCGGAAAATCATAAACCTTACCCCATGCATCATTCGTCGGGAGATTGTGCCGGTGGTATACCACGCCGCCGTGGTACATGATGAGCACGCGTAACTACATGTGCATGGAGTTTGTGCAATTGTCGATCAAGTCTCAAGGCTCTAGACAAAGTCCGGAGAGTTTTCTCGTGGGGAAGAGCTACTTAGCTAGGGACTACATGCGGCAGCACTTTTGTGGAGAACATTGCTCAACACAGGTCCCGCCATATGTGTACCCGAAGGAGACGACAAGTGGTAAAGTGGTTGAACTAGGAGTTGAGAACTGTCAGTATTCTGTCCTCATCACTAACATATGCCTGAAAGCACTCACCAAGCTGAATGTTTCTTTCTCGCGATTCGCAGATAACTAAACTAACTACAATCCATTGTAGTACAAGCGCTTGGCGGGCATTGCGTTATTCACGCTGCATATATGCAGGTTCGAAATAGATCTACACTACATTCCGATTTGTCGGCGACCAGAATCGCCAGAGAGCTTAGGAATATCTGTTGGTCATTAGAGTGAGACCGAGAGCGCCCGAGCAATTGCAACGCGGATGGCTGAGAAGACATATTTCCACAGAGGCTTTGTTTGATGATGGAGAGTAAATTGAAGGGATATATGGCTGAGGCGATGAGAGACTTCTGAACACAGGCAAAACCAAAAGAAATCTTCACAGACACGTTCCAAACGGGACGGAATAGTAGGGCAGCCACCTGATTCCTGTGTATCTGATGTCTTGCCAAGGAAGGAGCCCTGGGCCTTGGACCCTGAAAACCTAGTCCCTGACAACAACAACCGACCTCCGCTAACTAGACTTCAACCCTGTTCCAGCGTAGAGTAGCTGATTTTGATATAGCCGGTGTGGGGTGATTGAGTATCAGTTGGAGCAAGAGTGACAGTAAAACTTCAGCTCGGCCCTGTGCGTTCTCCTCTTCGCTAAGTGGTGCAGGGCTATGCCCAATCGGCCAACTTGTGTGGTAACTGGATCCGGATCACACTGTTATCCATTAAACCCTACTCGCACGGTCGTTCTTACTGTGAATCTTATAGAAGCTTAACAGGTCAGCCGCCACACATTGACAATGTCTAAGGCACCAATCGCTTGACTTGACATTTCTTCTCCCGTGTCTGTAGAGTAGGTATCAAAAGGTGCATACCCTAACCACTCTAAATACGCCCGTAAGCTGCACTGTTAGCAGGCTCGGCATGACAAAAGTTCAGCTGAAATTTAACCTGTAAGAATGAAGCCGAGATTCGCTCAACTGAGGCGAGTACCGGGGGTGCCTAAATACTCATGCATCGCGGAGGGGTAGAGTAGATCTGGGTATGTAGGTTGATGCTCTACTACCCCTTGTGGGGATCAACTCTATCCATATTTTATCAACATGTCTCAGTGGTAGTCTGTAAGGTACTTGAGACTTATCGGCACTTCACGGCCGTTCTTACCAAAGGGGACTCTAGAACCCACCAACCTGCACCTGAGATGACCCGGGTGTCATTACCACCTGCGGAAAGGCAATGGTGCAAGTAAAACACAACAGCGCTTTCTACGTGGTGAAGGAGATACGGAGAAGACTACAAATACCAGAGATGTCGGCCGCTGTATTTCTCAGGCTCAGTCGTCGGTCGGTCGTTATATCTTAACCCACATATATTTTACCAGTAAATCTCAGGCATGAAGGTTGTTCTTCCTACTCTCCTTCTTGCCAGCGCTGTTGGGGCGTTGGCCGCTACTTCCAGCAACACTTGCACGAAGAAGAAGATTATCATTGACACTGATTTCTGGAACTTGGTAACAACCTCCCTTCCTGCGTTATATATCATTGCTAGCAATTGTACTGACATTGCCGTGCTGTAGCCCGACGATGTGAACGCACTCGCCATTGCAAACGCCTTTGAGACCTGGGGCGAGACTGAGATCCTTGGTGTTGTGTCGAGCATCCGTTCCCGGTATGCTCCTCCGGCCATTGACGCCGTCGACACCTTCTACGGGCACCCGGACATAGAAGTAGCCATCCAAAAGCCGCTCGATAACACCGTAAGACCCCCCCCCCCCCCCCCCCACACACACACACAAACCGCATACACTCCCGTTGCTCTCAAAAGCTAACAACTTCCCCCTAGACCTACGACCCTGACTACACCCGCTACGGCGGCTGGGTCCAAACCCTGGGCCAAAAATGGCCCGAGGACATCAAAGACGGCTCCAACACCACGGACCCGGTCCTTCTCTACCGCAAGCTCCTTGCCTCCGCCGACGATAACAGCGTCACCATTGCCGTCATCGGTTTCTTCGACGTCCTCTATCGCCTCGTCGACTCGCCCGCTGACTCGATCTCCGGCCTCACCGGCTGGGAGCTCATCAAGAAGAAGGTTGTCGAGCTCGTCGTCCAGGCCGATGCGTCGGCGCCGAGATCGTACAATCTGTCGCACCACAATGTCACCTTTGCCGCACATGTGCTCAACAGCTGGCCAAAGATGCTGACGTTCGTGCCCGGCTATGTCGGCAGGAACATCAGGATGGGCGCGAAGCTGGCGACGGAGCTGAGCCCGGACACGAACCCGATTGCGTTTGTGTGGAATGCGACCATTGGTGCTGGAAAGGATGATGGGTCTTGGGATCGTAAGTCTATACCCTCTTCCTGTTTTAACTTACTCTATGAGAGATAGATATACTAACATTGACTGCAGCTGCGGCAATCTACTATGCCATCCGCGGCCTCGACGACGTCTACCACTACAACAAGACCGGCGGTGCCGTCACAATCCTGCCCAACGGAACAAGCACATGGAACGACAGCGCCGTGCCGGCCGGAAAGCAGAACTGGGTCGACCTCACCATGAGCAATGTCACGTTCGCAAAGAGGCTTGAGGACATCCTTCTGTGGGAGCCGAGCAAGCCCAAGCCGACGAACCTGATCAAGTGCGGTGCCGCGGCTGGAAATGGTACCAGTGGTACTGGCTCTGGCTCTGGCTCAGGCTCAGGCTCCGGCTCTGGCTCCGGAAACGCGACAACTACACCTGGTGCGGCGTCGACGCCGTTAGCGGAGTTTGAGGGTGCGGCTGCAAGTGTCGGTGTGGAGAGGAGTGTGCTTCTTGGTGCGGCGATGGTGCTGGCTGCTATGTTTGCGTTGTAGATGTAGCATCTAGTAGATGATGTGATGGGTATATAGCCTTTACTGGTAGCTTTTAGATGTTTATGTTGTGAAAAGTAGTTAATTGTTTATAATGAAGGGATTTGAAGTTAGGAATTCACCACACCAAAGTACACATTCATGCAGTTAGTGGTGCACGGGAATACAGATGGTCGTGTTTAGTGGTAGTGAATGTGGTTCGAGTGAATGCTACTGATTGCTACTGATCAGCACAGCAATAATCACGATTGATAAGATAACCAGCCCCGAGTGATGGGCCATGAACTTGACTATCGCGTGTGACGTCAACTTAACTGAATCGGTGGTAACTACATGTACTGCCGTCTATAGAAACTATCTTACAGCAATCAACGCGATCGATATACCCGCAGAGTATCATAAAACCCTCCGTAGAGGCGCTGCGGGCTTCGAAATGTGTATAGTTAGTATGTACCTGTCCACCCCCGCACACTGTGATAATCTACTTTGACTCGGCGTCTTTGGCATCGGCGGCCTTTGCCTGCTCTGTGTTCCCATCCTTGATCTCCTCTTTAGGCTCCTCCGGCTCGTCTTCGCCCTCGACGGTGATTCTGGTGCCTTTAACGCCCTCTTCCACCTCCTTGACCAGGCTCTCGATATAGGCCTCGTCTTTTCCAACCAGGGTAACCGTATTATGGTCCTTCCCCCACCTACCACACCCACCACCACCGTCAGCACTCCCCAAACCCAAACATACACACCCCAGAAAAAACCTACCTCGGATAACTCCCCACCTTGACCCCCCTCGCCCCCACCTTCTCCTGCAGCTCCGTCAAGTACTCAGCAACCTCACTCTCCGGCAGCGCCGTACTAATCAGCACCCTCACGAGCTTCTTCCCCTCGACCCTCTTCTCCTCCTCAAACAGCTTCCTCATGCCCTCCAGCTGGCTCACAAAGATGCTCGGCACCCCCGGCAGCACATGCACGTTGTAGTTGATAATAGCGACAGGCACCCACGTGTCGTCGCTCACATACACGACGCGCACATTGTCGCCGGCCGGCAGCTCCGCCATGCGCAGGCGCGCCGTCCGTGTCGGCGACGGCGTGTCCCAGTCGAAGGGGACTTTGTGCTTGGAGAGGAGGCGCATGCGGCGGAAGGTCTCGTCGTGGAGGCGCAGGGGGAGCCCGAAGGCGGCCGCGAGGGACGAGTAGGTTATGTCGTCGTGGCTGTTGTTGTTAGTATGACGGGGTAGAGAGGGGGGAGGGGGGGGGGGGAGGGGGGAGGGTACGTGGGGCCGATGCCGCCGGAGGTGACGACAAAGTCGTAATTTGCGCTCATGCGGCGGGCCGCCTCGATGATCTGGTCTTGGTCATCGGAGATGACCTCGATGCGCTTGAGCTCGATGCCGAGGTCGAAGCAGAAGCGGGAAAAGTAGGGGGAGTTGGTGTCGACTGTCTGTTGTTGTGCGTGCGGAGGGCAATTGTTATTAATTGTCTCTAGGATGCCCCCCGCCCGGGGAGGAAGGGGCCTGTAGACGGAGTGCATACCTTTCCGTTGAGAACTTCGTCGCCAATGATTAGACAGGCGGCCGTGTGGATTGGCCGCTTGAAGGGATCTGCGGAGATAGACATCCCTCTGTGAATATGCTTGAGATGGTTTGAGACTATGGAGAGGCGCGAGAGCATATGATGATTGGTGGGAGTATATGAGACGGGGTGTTCTCTCTCTCTCTCTCTACTTTGGGTATCTAGAGAGTTGTGTCCTCACGGTCGTTGTTGTTTGTTGGTGTACTACTACTCTAGTTACATGTAGTGTGGTTAATTAGTGAGGCTGCAAAGCACAGTGGGGTAAGTGCATGTGCGAACTCTTGGTGGTGATATCATACACACAATCCTGGTTAGGTCCCACCACAACCACTCCACCCACAACCACTCCACCCACAACCACCACCACTCCGACCCCTCCCCTCCCCTCCACTCCACTCCCCATCCCCCCGCCACTCCGCTCTCGGCAGTGCTAGTGCCGCATGCAGGGTTGGCTATAGCAGGGCTGCAGATCTGAGGAAACACTATCGAGTGATATTTGGTGATTCTCTCTCTCTGCACATGCTCGTTTCTCCACAGCATCAGATTCCTCTGGCAGCCGCTGCATGGTCTTCTTATATACAGGGGGTATACCAATCATCGTCCCGTCATAAGTACACATCATAACACATAAAGTGCCTCCTTAATAATCTACCAGGAAGGAATACCTCGTCTACTTAATCCCGAAGCCTAAAATGGGATAGGCGCAGATATCTCCGTTGTTTCTGTACAAAAGTACTCTTAAAAGAAGAGAGAAGAAAAATTACCCGTAGTCTGACTCCTGAGCCCCGAATCCAACGTAAAAAGTATGCTAAAACGCATGAGAGAAAAAATCCCCTCCAAAAAGAAAGAAAAAAGGAAAGAAAAAAGGAGATGGATATAAAGTAGCGGAGATAAACGACCTTCGCACTCTATTGAAAAATTCACCATACGATATCGTTATTAGCAGAATATTTTTAACCCTGCTTCCATGTCTTCATCTTCAGGTGCCTTCTTCTATCTCCCACGCTTCCCACTCTGGCGCCTGTACAGGGGCTTCCAACTCTACACCATCATGCCCTCCGTGCGTGATGCAGCCAACACAAGTGCATCCCTCGCCGCACTTACATCCAGCCTCAGTCTGCGCGCACATTCCGAGCGGATAATCAAAGTATAGGAAATTGCTTGGTGAGAGCTCATCAACAGCGTCAGTGCCACTCGGGGTGCCACTCGGGGTGCCACTCGGGCTTCCGTCTGGGCCTATGTCCTCCTCTTCCGGTGTAGGTGAAATCCGCTTTGCCGGGCTACCTCTACTTCCACAGCATGTCCCTGACGATGGTGCACCAGCTACAGGCGACGAAAGCGACATCCCATTCGCTTCGAAACTGTTTGGTTGGGATTGTGGGTGCGAAAGCTGTTGAACAAGGCCGTGTGGATGGTTATGGATTGTAGGATTCGGGTGCGACTGCGGACTCAGAGATCCATTGTCTACGGCCATGAACGACTGCATCTCCCGTACATGCTCCACCGTCCTCCGATTAAATGGATGTGTTGCACAGCCCAAGCAATTACACTCAGGCCCACAATGACAGCTGTGTTCCCAGCCGTTGGCCAAAGCGGTGTTGGTGACTGGGGAATTGCTCATTGAGGGCACCAATGCCACATGCCCAGGCAGCTGTGCTGTTGGTTGCGGTCCAAATACGCCAGCCGCTCTTTGTTGTTGTAACCATGCAAATTCTTGAGGCGTGATCGCAGGGTTGATTGTAGGATACATCCACATGTTTGGAACCTGTGAAAAGTTTGTAGGCGGAATATATGACGGTGGATATTGGAGAGCAGGGAAAAAGGAATGCCCTGAGAAAGGTACTTGAGAAATAGTCATTTGTTGGGGCTGTATTGTGGTCGCTTTTTTTGAGCCGTTACAACAACTAGGACCTTGTTGGGTATTCTGCGGGGCGGGCGCACGATGTATATACTGTTGTAGTTGCGGTTGTGGTTGCTGTGCTGATTCCCCCCCGCAACCTCCACAGCCTACCTTTTTGACAGGAGGTTGAGATAGCTGCCAAGGAGATGATCCTGCATCAGGATTCCATACATCTGAACACAAGGTTTTGTGAGTTACCGCTGGCATGTCTGGTTTGTTTTCTGAGGGTTTTGTGCCCCCCAAGAACATATTTCCGTTTTGTGGGTTTGAAAAATCGTGTGATGGACGAAATCCATTGATATCTCCTCCATGTCCAGGACTTGTCGGAAGTCCTGCAAGCCCTCGCAATGAATCTCCTTCAGCAGAACCATTCTCTCTTGATATACCAGGCATGCCACCGCAGCTGTTAGCTGTACTTCCCATCTTTAAAGACTCAGCACTACTACTGCGTTCCCTCTCTTGCTCGAGTAGTTGTTCAAGAGCGACCTCCCCTATATTCACACTCCCTTTTCTTGCTTGACCAATTTTTTTCGGCCGTTGTGGTTTGGCAATTTTATTTAAAGGGCCATTATTAGCCGAACTAGCCGATACAATCGCGGGGAATGTTGGTGACATGGGCGATGTTATCGTCGACCCAGAATCGCTTGTAGCAGCACTTATAGCTACCAATGATGGCGGGGGTAGTGGAGGCGGGGGCTCCTGCGGCTTCGGTGTTCCACAAGCGCAAGAGGCAACTAAACGCCACCGTCAACGTTTATACAGCACTGGATAAGAAAGCAGTACATACCCTTCGGTATGGCGACAGATGTGACATCGCAGCTACAGCTCACCCTGGCAGAGCTTCCAGCCCTGTTCCCCCCAGATTCCCCTCCATTGGGCAGGGTGTGGACAAAGGTACCTGGGGAGGTTGATGATAGGGTGTGTGGGCAACTGCTTAACGGTCGGCCTGGTTTTCGAACTTGTACCAGCACTCGGTCGCTGTGATTACACTTTGATGAGCGATGTCCCCGTATGCAGGGTTCGCTTTCCGGGCCATCAGCAAACGTTTCTATCTGGGTGTAGACATAAGGTTGAGTTTCTCCGTCATCACTAAAAGGAAAGGTGTGCGGGAGCGGAGGAAGGTAGGGTAAGAGAGGAAATATTTACCAGGCAAACTTTACACCTCGCATCATCGGCATCTTGATGGTTGGCAGGTCGTTCCTTATTCTTTCACAAGGTAGGGGGGTTGGACCAGGTGGTGGGGCTCAATATTCTCGGTCACGAAGGGCAGTAGCTTGAGAGCTACTTGTGGTCAGCGAGGGACTGTAACCAACCCATTCAACGCAACCAAGATCTCAAGATATTTTCGCGGTGGGAGCGATGCTATGATGAGTCCACCGAATCGTGACAGCGGGTTGCGACGTGTGTTACAAGATGGACAGACTGGGAAATTCGTGGATGAGGCTCTTCTGACGGCCCCCCCAGCTTTAACCAACCAGTTGACCGATAATCCTCCTGGTTTCCCTGAGATGTTGATGGGTCCAAACTGGATCACCCT